TTTCCCTAACCATCCTGAGCTCTGGGTCTAAACATAAGTCTGTTGTAAGCCTGGTGGTATGAGCTCAAATTTGTTCCAGAACACTGGGTATTCTGCAGCAGTGAAAAGTAGCCATGGTCCTTCTTTGCTAGGAGGCCAGTCCAGGCCAATAAAGTCCTAAAGGCAAACTGCACAAGCCATGCTGGGCTGAGCAGATTTAGTGCAATTTATACCTCCCTGTGCTAGCTGAAGTGGCCAGCCTAAAATGCTTTATACTTTTATGACTGTGAATCTCAATGGAAACCTCTTACTTTCATGCAGCAATTTGAGATGAACACTGAAGCATCAAAAGGAGGTGAATTAAATAGTTCTGTTCAAGTGGAGAACTTACAAACAAGCGGTTTATTTATAAAAAGCATCACAAGAAGCTGCATGCCCGGCTTCAGAGGAATAATATCTTCCAGGAAAGGAAAGACTGACATGATTACTGACCCCTTACATTGTGTTATAGCTTCTGTGAAACCACAGATGGGAAAAACACTGACTCTTGGTGTTTGAAGTGGGTTGTCTATGCCCTTGTCCTGAAGGAGAAAAGCAAGGGTAGCACTCACACTGAAATCCATAGACAGCTCTCACAGGCTAAGTGGTTAATTGTGTAAGGACAAACGCAGCCGTGATGGCGATAGCATTTACTACTCATGCCTGCTGGGTAACTGTTGAATGGTGTTTATGCTTTTCACTGGAGGAGCAAAGAGATAAAAGCCACTCCAGATGCTGGAGCATTGCCAGGTTCTCAGGACTCTCCAGAATTTTGAATCACAAAGCTGCTTTATCAGTTTCTTTTATTCCTCTTGTCTGTCTTTGCTGACACAGCAAGGATGAAACCTCTTGCTCAAAAGCAACCTGGAGTACAGCTGTCTGTGCAAGGGTAAGAGGAGACCTGAGCAAAGCTTTCATGAGGGCAAGCTCTCCCACTTCACAACAGGCCATTGAACTCGAGCTGCCCAGACACGGCAAGCTGAGTGGAATTTGCTTCTCGAGGTACTGAAGTTCCTTCAGAAAACCAGAGTGCCGGCTTGCTCAAAGGGATTTGTTTAGGGATATACTTAAGCCATAGCCCTGTTTACTGAGAATAAGCAGAAGAGAGCAGGGAGGGTGGGAAGAGACCAAGAGCACTGCCAACGAGCTGTTTTGATGATGGAGACTGGAGGTATCACACCGTACTGGAACTGCCAGTGCACAGGATATCAGGAATAATTTTGTGAAACTACACTTTTACATTTTTGAGAGCTAAATACAAAATAACACACAAAATGTTTATCAGAGAACCCTAGGAAAAAAAGAAGGAAGCAGAGTAAACAAAACAACAGACTAGGAAAGGAGAAAAAGGAAACAAACTGCAGACTGTGTAAATTAGTCTTAGGGCAAGAGATCTTACATATAAACACTCATGAAATTCCTGAGAAGGTTCTTTGTCAAACTTAAAAATGGCACACATCCTTTTTTTCCTCTTGAGAGTAAAGCATACTGTAATAACAACCCCTTGATTCACCACTATATTACTCTGGTTTTGTCCTAAAACGAGTGACAACAAACTGCCCTTGATTATTCGGGGTTTTTTTCCCCCCATCTTCCCCCCAACCACAAGAAATTCCATCAGAAAAGATATTTAAAAAAATAACCCATAATTACCTGATACTGCCACAGAGGGAACACTTGGCTCTCCATAGCCAAATTCATTAACAGCCACCACCCGAAATTCATAGGTGACACCCTGTTTGAGTTTGTCCAGGCCGACTGTGTAGGAGGTAGCACTGCGAGGGATGTCCTTCACAAACATATCCCACAGTCCTTCATCTAGGAAAGCAGCAAGGAGAGAAATGGCGTGAACTGTGCGACTTGGCACGTCCTTCTGCTCATTGAAAAAACTTGTCATTAATTGTGTGTTTCAACCACAGGCAGCGGACGTGCTTACCTGAAGGCTGCTCAGTGATACACACCCGTGTCAGAATGCCCTGCAAGACCCCCATCTGTAAAGGCATTTATTCACGATGGGGTCTTATAATCGCCCAGATGGAAGAGGCCTCCTCTAAAACCTGCGGCAGCACCCACAGCGACCTGAGTGACCATCTGGGTCCCTCCTGATCAGGTAAGGTCACCGCATCAGCATGCCTTGTATTTGACAGAGCAAGTAAAGCCGAAGCAACCTGCTGCACTAACGAGCCCTAATCGCACAAGTTTTGCCTGCTTTTCACATTGCAAAACTGACTTCACTATGGAAGTGCGTAGGCCAGGCTTTGCACGCTGATGTGTGATTTGGGTCTTGGCGGGAAGTACTGTGGCCTTGCACGAACTGGTGCCTGGTGGACTGGGGTCACTGGTGTCACTGGAGTGCTGCTTGTTTCACAATATCAATAGCGATACGTCCTTCGCGTGTGCTGGCCCACTGCGCGGCACAACCCGCGCAGCCGGCACCGCATGTCTGTGTGATGTATTTTTAAACAGGAATGAGTTTTTGTTTGTATTATAAACCTCTCGAAGTTGTTAGAAACATAGTGCTATTCTGATGAGAGTGTTTCAGTAGGGTAACCTTGGTTCTCAACAGCCACACTGACGTTGATCCTGATGCGCATCCTGACCAGGCACCGTTCTGGTCCTTGATCCATACTTGTAATCTTATATTCACTTGACTACAATGGAAAGAACTTTCAACAAGATGGATGCTGTTACCAGTAAGAACAATACCAACTATAATTAAAAATGTCAGTCAATAATTTTGAGTGCAGGAATCGACCATTAATCTAAACCGACTGCTTTTCAGTAACAATCGGTGCCCAGCACTTTAGCTGACAAAATGGAGTTAGTGTCTACGCACAGGGCCAAACCCTCAGCTAGCCTAAGCCAGTTGAGCTCTTACAGATCTGACCTCACAAGTATCCCGTTGGGCTTTAAGTTATCAAAGCTGTTCAAGCAACGTCTATTCTTCTCTGCACGTCCCAGAGCAATGGGAATGCGATGATAACCTCTGCATAGATACGACTCTGGCGCAGGAGCTGCCTGCTTTGAAAGAAAGCCCTCTGCACTGTGAGATTCGAGCGTCAGCGTGACTTCTGCAGCTTGAGGTGTTATCAAGGTAACAATAAAGCAGGAGCAAGCAGCACTACCCTCAGCGAATTGTTCTGCTGCTGTAAGGCTGGAATCTGTTCTCATCTACTTTGCATTTACCTGACTCTAAACTAACTGAAGTCACCACAGCAATTCCAGAACTGTGCTGGTGTAACGGAGCAAAATTTGGCCCTTAGCCTACTCCTGTGCAACAGGGAATAGCAGCAAAGATGGATTCATTAACACTGCAGGTGCATTTCCATGTGAATGTTTTAACTTTGGCATCAGTAAATATTGGCTCGGTAATTTGTACCGTGCTGCATGTCTAGCAACACACACAATGACTAACAACCCCCGAACTACATCTTTTCTGAGCACGAGGATTGGCAGTCTCAGTGGATGCAAAAAGCAGGCTGAAATGTATTGTTCCAGCCACATTTGAGAAATACTGAAGAACAATAAAAATAGGTAATTTTTCTGTCATGCTTAAAATTCAGACCAATACATTATTCACCAGCATGATCAGAGTATAATGAAGTTATCATAATGTACCATTGTTATGTATTAGTTGGATATTACAATGGCTATAAAACAAGAGATAAAATATTGACTTCCCTTTTACAGGGCAATAGAAGGCAAGATTATTTCTACAACGTAAACTTACAATGTAATAAAAAGGGAGCTTGGGATTTAGTTTCTCTAAGAGGGTGGAGTGAGGGATGCATTTTCAAAGTTAGATTGTTGCAACCACCAATACTAGGAAGATGCATCTCAGACTATAAAATATTGCCATAATTGCTAGAATTGCCTGAGCTTTCATAAACACATTTGTAAACAGCAATAAGAGAATTTGAGCCCATTGTGAATTGTCTGAAAAGCAATTTGTTTGCATTGAAAGCCACTTAAATGGGGGAAGAAAAGGCAACAATAAAAATGAATGTTCAACACTCATTGCAACAAAGACGACTGTTCCACACGTGCTTTCTCACTCATTTTCTCAAACCTGTCAGGGTGCACAGTACAGAATATCCAACAGACCAAGAAGTATAAATTTAACCACTCTGTAAAGCTTGCAATAAGTTGGGAAGACTACCCTTGAGAAGTCAACGTTGCATTTCCATTGCATTTCCACCTCTCTGTCCCCTTAGCTATGGTGGTGATGGTGTGGGGCAGCAAAGGGTGCTGGTGGACGTTTCTTCAGAGGGATTCCTGTCTCACAGGGACTCAGAGATGCTCCGGCTTGTGGCCATATCTTCTCTGGCCCATCCCCCTTTGATTCATTGAAAGAATCTTTGCCCAAACTGTTTTCTGGGGTAGGAAACAGGGCTTGGCCAAGATGGGACCAAGATCCTCGGGATCCCAGAGAGGTGGCCAGCTACAGTGGTCAGAATCTGCAGGGTGGCAGCCTGGGACATCCTTATGTCTCCCCACCGCTGATCCCAAGCCAATGCTATGCACAGGATAGTCTGGGGCTTCCCAAGCCCTGACCAACAAGGTTTTCAATTCCAGAGTCTCAATTAATTCATCTTCTCTCTATCTGGAATATTCAGGCCTTTTGTAGCCAGAGATCACAATCAGATATATCCAAACTAAAAAAACATTTTATTTCAGTGGTGAACTTTGAGATGAAATATTGAACACAAACTTGTGAATGCATTCACTGCATCTCTTCCCCCATCCCTCAAAACTAGGTTTGCTCTAAATGTTAGAAGTTCAACTGAAAGAGAATTCATTAGGAGATCACCTGTGATAGCAAACAGTGGCCTTTAAGTTCAGTAGAAAATCATTAGTACATTGTACACAGTATTTTCCACTCAGTTTAGGGAAAACTGCTGTGGTTGGGATATCCAATGAGTATTAACTCATAGAAACCGCCAAGAAAAGCAAAGTTTGCAACACCGGACTCCCACAAAGAGGTGCGAGGCTCAGCCAGCCCCAGCCCACTCCCGGTTAACGTCCGAGAGAGGTAGCACAGCTGGCAGCAGGGATGCACGTGTACTGCTGGCAAACGCGTTTCCTTCAATAACATCTGTCCCTTTCTCCGTTTCACATTGCCTTTCACTGGGCAGTCAGCTTCTTACAAAAGGCCTAAATGTCTGATAGAAAAGGGAGGAGACCTCAAAAAACCTAATTTTTCTTTGCTTCCTGTTCCTCTAAAGGCTTCACCAGACCCTGCCCCCGCATTATTTCCTGCCTATGTGAGATTTGATCTTTATCCCCCAGCCTCAACTCCTCCATCCAATTTGGGAGTGAGGCATGTGCATGGGGACAAGATCTGAAAGACAGGGGAAGGTGAAGCCACCTCCAACCTACCACCACATCCAGCCTGTCCCAGCCACCTTCCCGGCCTGGTGCCGGCCATCCCGTGTCGGTGAGGAGCGGCACTGTGGCTTGCAGCCATACACAGCACCCACAGGCCAGCCTGGCTTCTCAGGCAATTAATCAGGGTCTCCACGCTGAATAAAGCTGTCAGTCAGTAACGAAGGCTCCCGGCTCTGCTAACTCAGGCCGCTAACAAACAACTGCCATGCTGCGGCTCAGGAGATGGAAAGCTGTCAGTTATTCGGGTCTTAAACACCAGCCTGCCTCTCTTGGAGTAAGAGGAGAGCCACGCTGTAAAACTTTCTCCTAATTACACATTAGGAGGTTTATGAGGGGAGAAGCAGCTGAGAGTTGAGGACCGGCTGAACACGGGTAGTGTTCCTCCTACAGAGGACAAAATTAAACGGCGGATGTATTTGTCCGAGGCGAAGGGCTGGATTACCATACGAACTAGCAAAAGGACAGGAATGGGAAGTGAAGGCTGACAAACTGTCAGCCTTGGCATGTCATTTGCGAGCAGAAGCGAACCAAAGGCCCCATGGCAGATGCCAGCAATGCAGCTGCACCCTTCACTTTGAATTTACTGACTTCTGCTGGTTTGTGTCCATGTTTGACACTGCACTCCCTCATTTGTTTAAAAATAAATAGAAAAGGAAGAAAACATAAAAACATTACTCAAGACACCAGAAAGGAAACTAAAGTGAGATCTGCCCTCAGGGTGTGGGAAGCAAAAACCAGCATTTATGGGAAGGACAATCCCCACTCCAAGTAGATGGGTTCTTCCCCAAAACATCTCCTGCCTTCGTGGAACTGATCAGCTGGAGGAGCAAAAGAAAACACTTCCCTTACTTGTCTGTGTCCTAAGCTCACGATTTGTGGCTGATCTGAGGTTTAACAGGCCTGTTCATGCCAGAGTGCTAGAAATATTATTATTATTATTATTGGAAACACGTTAAGATGCAATTCTCTCCTACTGGGCTTAAGTCATCCCTGCTCGGGAAAAGCAAACAAAGTCCAAAATGCACGATGGGGAGAGGAAGCAGAAGAGGAGATCTCTGTCGGCCTGTCCTGGGTTGGAAGGTGCTCTGGAGGCAACACAAGCCCTGAAGCAGATTGACCCAACGCCCACCCGGCTGCCCTGCAGCTGAAGATGACTGCAGCAGGCCAACGCACGCATGAAGGTCTCACAGCAGTTCTCCTGGCAGCGCAGATCCCTAGGTCACAAGCACCTCCTTTGTAGATAGGGGATAACTGGGAAGGCGAGTCCGTGTGAGGCTGCTCAGTACTTCACAGGCCACATGCCTGCGTCAAAGGGCTGTGCAGAGAGAGGAGCCTTGGATGTGGCATGGGGTTGGAAAAGGAGGGGTGAAACCGGCATCTCCACTCCTTCCGGCAGCACTGGGAACCTTCACATCGTTGTGCCATTTCTGTCTTTTCCTCTGCACGTAAAAACTGAGGACACAATCTGATACCCATTCTTTAGCCAGCCTAGTTGATGTCTAGGGAGTGCTTATGATGGCAGTGACAGAGGCTGCTTAATTGCATTTCTTGTAATGCACAAGGAGCTAAACTGGAATCCATTTCTCTGGGAACGGAGAAGTTGAAGAAAAAGAAAAACGCTTCTGTTTCTGTAATGTCTTTCTCTAGCACAGATCACTCTGGAAAAAATATTGGTTCGCCTGCTTCATCCCTGTGTCTGAGTATATTCAAAATGCAGAGGAGGTAGTCAGCCTGGTCACCTTCCATAAATCCGGGAGAGAAACGGGAAGATCAAATGAACAATCTCAGCTGCCCGCTGCCACCATTGCTAAACCCAGCAGGACAGCCAGAGCCCTGGGAGACACAGCAGGGCACCAAAAAATTCAAAGGGAAGTGACAAAAGGGGTAGGGTTTGCTGTTTCTGACAGAAAGCCACCCTCCTACGCTGATGGAAGAGTCTTGGCAGGGAGCTACAGCAGGGAAAATGAGATGATACAGCATTTAACGTTTGAGGTAATGAGGCCTATAATAGATGACACTTGAGATGTGAAACACTAAGGTAGTGGTATTGCATTTAAATACTGGCAACAAGCTAAAGCTTTTCATCTGTCTGTTCAATGCCCCTTTTTTGATCTCAGAAGGATGAATATCTTTACCTTCCTTGATTTTATGTGAAGGGCACAAGTCAACTCCTCTTCTCTTGGACAACAACTCCTTAAACACAAAGGTTGCTCCAATCCATGCTCTGCTACCCATATAAATCAACATGCAGAAGCAAATTCTTAGAATGATATTAAACCAGAAGCTGCTCTGAATGACCAGCCCTGACAGGAGGAATTAGTTCCCTGCTTTTGTTAAGCTCGTAATTCAGATTTCAGACTCCTCCATGCAGAGATGAGGAAGAAAAGCGGCACAGAAAGGAAGCTGACGCTTGGGTGAAAAAGCAAACGTTCCAATTAGTCTGTCTCCTCTCCTGGATCACATTTCACGCTTCCTACAGCTGCAACCAGAACGAAGGTTGAGAATCCAGCATACAAATGCCTAGTTCATTTGCTACAGCAGCATGAATAGGATTAAAATAATCTGAAGAGGAATTAAATGCCTCAACAGTCAGGTTGCAAGAGCAGGAGAATAAGACCTCTTCTGTGTATTTCCAGGAGCAGTGGAGTGGGGCCAGCAGAAGTGACCCAGGGTTAATGCAGCTCAGACCTGCCTTGGAGGGACTATTGTCTTCCTACTCAAAACGAGTGGGCCACAAATCCTACATCCCTAGCCATGAACTGTAAAATGTTCATTGACATCCAACGGTGAGACAAGCCCAGGAACGTCAGATGAGTTTGCAATGTCACCACTCACACAAGTTGGATTTCCAGCTTGCAGACGATCTGTACATGGGCTGCAGATTTCCCTCTCAAATACTCTTACTCAAAAACCCCTGTTTGGGGAAATGTAAGCTGGTGAACTTCAATGAACGTGCTATCTAAACAATGCTGTTCAAATAAGACAGAGTGTTTTCTACCTATGAAGAAATAAGGGCGAAAATCAATGAGCTGATGTAAGTGAAACGGAAGCAGAGCGGTATCATGCCTCTAATTAAAAAAAATCTTGATCGCTCTGGGAAACTCCAGTGCTTTGAGAAGGTACACATTTTCCTTGACTTTGTTTTGAAAACAATTGTCAAGTTAAATGACAGAAATAGTGAAGAAATTTTAGGGCAGTACCTCACTACAGAGAAAATTCTATCAGATGCAGGTATGGAAATCTGCATCTTCGGTGACGACCACAGAAACGCAGGCAATAATTTTATTACTGGTCTGGTTAAATGTAATTAAAATAATGGGTTTTAAATGCAACCTTATATTCAAGACACATACAAGAAACAGGATCCTTTATATAATCAAACAGATAAGCATTCATTTAATCAATATATAATCAAGCAAGGTGCAAGCACCTAGAAGTAAAAAAAGAAAGAACAAGCAGCCAACATGGATATGTCAAGTGTAAATCATGTCTAATTTCCTTCTGTGACAGGGTAGCAGACCTTGTCAATAGAGGAGAAAGAGCAGACATCATCTATCCTGACTTCAGCAAAGCTTTTGACATCGTGACATTCAAACACGGCCTATGTGAAACAGGTATCTGGTAGATGCATCACCGGCTGGAAAACTGTACCCGGTAAATGGTTATCAACATTCACTGTCAGAGTGGAGGGAAATTATCAAGTGAGATTACACAGGGGTACAGCAGCATTCACTGTTTTTTCTTAATGACTTGGTTACCACAAAGTGCGCGCTTACTGAATTTGCAAAGGCTACCAAGGTGGGAGAGGCTGTGAACAGCCTGGAGCATATGCCTATTTTTAAAATGACCTTGTCCAGCTGGGGAAATAGTCTGGAAAACAGAGAGCAGCTTCAGTAAGACGCAAATCCCAGAAGCAAAGGAGCTCTGGGAAAGCACCAAGAAAAACTGTGGTGATGAGGGGATTCCTCTCCCCACAGTGCCCTCCCTGCAGAACAAATGGAAAAAGCGATGTGTACGTGGTACTAAAGTCCTAGCCCTGTTATTAACCATAAAACAGTAATTAGCTGCTGTGTTCTGCTGCAGAAGAGGACAGATTCCTATCTGTGGTCCTCAAAATACAGTTTGCAAGTACTTATTAGTCCTTGTGCATGAAAGATGCTGTAAGCATTTAAGTGAGTTTTAATTATTAACTATATTAGCTCATCAGTTGGATGATTTACCAGTGATGTAGCACAGTGAAAGCCAGAGTACTTAGGGTAATTTTCTGTAACTGTTCCTAAACAGGAGAAAATCTGCTAAACCACATAATAAACAAGCAACAGTTTAATACTGGCTGGCGATAGCATTCTCTCGCAAAGTCCCATTACCTTACTGGAATGACAGACAGCCTCTCCCCTGCGGGATGGCTTTCAGGGTGGACAGAAGGAAGGGAACTCATGACATGAAGCTCTCTGTGTTTCCCATGGCTTACCTGAAGGTCGTGCCTCTATAATGTAGCCAGTTGTGGGTTTTTCTCCTGAATCTCCCTCAGTCCATTGTAGCGTCAGCCCAGAAGCAGATTTTGTCACCAGAATTTCCTGAGGGGAACCAGGCGACCCTGAAGGATGAAACGAGAATAGCAAATGGTGGTGGTATCACAGACAGACTGCAGCATTCATTTCTTCTACTGATATAGGGGAGAAAAAATATCTAGAGGTATTGGCCAGCATATACACAACATAAACCAGCTCAGTGGGTTATTGACTTAAATATTTCATAGTTCTAGTACCAGCAGTTACATATCAATGGCTGGGTTTTACAGGTACCTGTGTTAAGGAGGAAAAAGAAAAAACACTCTCATTTTAAACATTAGCATATCTGCAGCGCTTGCACATTGCCACTGCTATTTCTGTCTTCAGAGGTGAAACCAGCCTCAGGGGGAGGTTCATGGGGACAGCTGCCTGCCCGTTCACTTGGGAGGATGCCCCGGCCACGTTAGGATTCCTGCTTTATCCTGTCTGTGGTGGGGCATGAGAGCGGGACTGTGGATCCACAGCACTGCTGCCCCAGATAATGGCTACGGAGGGCAGCGTGATAAAATGAAAGTTTGCCGGCACCCAGAAGGGTGGAACTGCCACACGTGGCTCTGCTTGAGGGAACAAATATTTTCCTGAGCTGGAAAAGAAGCAAAATTCAGAACCATTGCACTGATGTTTTGTGATTTACTGGACAGGCTGGTATCATTGGAGGGCAATTGCTTTGTTAGATTATCTGTTTATCAAAAGCACTGATCAAATAAGAAACCAAACTCTTTTGGTACAGACATTGAACCAAACAGGGAACGCTGACGTTCAGCCTGTTGCTCCTCTTGACATATCAGGAAATTCGTAGATCTCTCCCAGGGCATAAGCCAAAGTGTCAGGAGAGAGTAATTGTAAGTTCTTTCTGGTTTTACATCCAGGACCCTCTGCTGGTTTCAGCAGAGTTATTCCAGTTCTGACTCCATGGCAGAGCTATAGTCAGAACTATGCACCATGCTGTCAGGTTGCAGTTTGAAATCCCTGGCCAGGCCATTTGTGTTACAATTTATTCAACATTGTTCTGCTTGTTCACATCAGACTTCTAGATTTCAGGAAAAAAGGAAACACGTTTTTCACAGGCAGTTGTGAAACCCACTGAATCGTGTCCTGAGCTCCTGTCTCAGCTTCTCCTTGGCTTGGAAATTCCTGTGAAGCCCTGAGTGCATTATTCCCCGCTGTTGGACCATGTTTGTATAACTGATCTGGCTTGCGACATGGTTTTATGGTTCCACTTACCTTCTGCTGGCCCAGCTGTGACGTTGGCTTGCAGTTCAGGTCCATAGGTGATGGTTCGGGCTTGCACTCTGAATAAATAGGTCATGCCCTTGGTGAGATCTCGGACCTTTAACCAGCGTTGCCAGTTGCCTTTAATGTCCACAGTCACCACCTTACTCACCCCTGGAACAGCCATGCAGATAAAAAAAAAAAGAGAAGGTTGCAATGCAAAAAAAGAAATCAAGTGGAGCTTATTACGTCTAGATGGTAAGTAAAATTATCTAACAGTTTGCTAAGAAAGTATTTCTTACAATTAGCAGGAGTTTAAGTAGTGATAATAGCCAATTTTCAGCACTGATAAGTATAATTAGAGTTTAAGCTTGATAAGTGGGTACTGACAAGAAAAAAAACCTTACAACACAACTGGGAAATTACCAAGAGACTACACGCAACTTCCCTAATTACTCTGGGAAGAAAGGAGGAGGTAAATGAAGAGGACTGCATGTTGTAGCCTGATTCCTAAGCAAGCGTTTCTCCACTGCTGCTTTGCCAAGTAACCTGCGACATTGCCTGGAGCAAGAAACAAGGGCCAGGTTCTTTCCTTTCATCTCCTCCTGTCATTTCCACCATCACCAAGTGAACGTGGAATGAAGGACATATCTCTCACAGGTAACTTCTGGTAAGAATGCCACTGCAGTAGGGGATGCAATCAAAGCACTATTAGCTTGGGCAAGGCTGAAGTCACAACTTGGGTTTCACTCTTCTCACTCTAATAATTTTTCTTACATGGATGAATTAAAATCAGTGCTGTTTCTTTCATCAAAGTTCAAGCTAGTTTCACGTTTGGGTTCTCAATGCTGCATAAAGGGCACAGTGGCAATGAGTGCACTGAAAACAAAAAATCCAGTTTTCACTGAAATTTTGTAGAAGTCAATGGAAAGAATTTTATTTTATAAAATGTTTTACAGAACAGAAAGTTCAAATTTACAGAGTCCTTCTGGTTCTATAGATGTACATAACACATTTCAAACCAAGATGATAGGAAGTGGGAGAAGATTTTTCCCACTAGAGAAGGCTGCTTGCTAGTTTATCTTTCCAGAAAAATGCAGAAGGAAGATGTTTTTCAATCCAGATGCTTATTTTATGCAAATCAAGATGATGCTTTCAGTTTTTATCTGTTAAATAAAGAATAATGTCCATACAATTTCTGTTCAAAGTTTTCTCCCAGATACAATTTATAACACAGGGAACCTTTCCGTGGTTAACGAGGAAGCAGTAAAAGTGCTCCCTCCTTCCCTAGGTGTATTATTTCATTTCTCCGAGACAAATCAGGAAGCATTTGTCATTTTGAAGCTATGTTCCAAAAAAAAGGAACTGTTAAAAAAGGCTCCAGGGCAATTTTGTTGTCTATGATTGTGTAAAACATAACACTGCAAAGCTTAAACAATAAAAGGTCAAACAGGGAGAAGACTGTGCTAAAGAACAGATCGTCGTTAGAAAGTTTTGCAAAATGTGCAGGTTTTAAGCGGTGGCTTGTGGGTGGGAACGCAGGAGGTGTCACAACGGCGAGGATGCTCAGCCGAAAATCACGAATGGGTGTAAAGTCAAAAGCTGCAGGGGGTCTGGTTCACCCAAGTTGTCGCACTGTAGTACTGGCAGGGAGGAACGTGGGGCCTGGGGCTGGAAGGACCCTCTGGGATCGTGGGGTCTGGCAGCTGCCGGCCTCGGGAGCCTCGCTGCCTGCGTTCAGCACCGTTACACGCTCCATCTTCAAGTGAGTTTGGCTTTACCTTGCTCTCTAAACAAAGGAGCATGGCTTTTCTGTCAGAGGAAAATGATGACATCGAGGGAGGGATTACTTACCGTGGTGGGGGAATAAATATGTTTGCTGAAAGAAAAATGTTGGCACAAGAGCAAATGGGAAGAAATGGGAAAATAAATTCAGGCAAAAATTTAGAATCTGAGCAAAAGCCCTCTATAACCTCCCTGCTCACATCAGCAATCTTCTACAGGGGAAGGAGAGACAAACTGGAGTTAGAGATACCACGGGCAGAGGTGGGGAAGAAAAGAAACGAAAACAAAGATTCTGAGGATGTTAAGTCAAATGCATGCAGAGAAAACATGATCTGTCACTTCCATATTTTCAGGGGAAAAAAATGTATTCTTAAACCTTGTGTAGGAATGAATAAAAGGCAGGAAATGCCCAAAGAGCCCGAACATCCTGCATACCCTGCCTACATTTCTTGGTCAGAATTAGAAATGCTTTCTGCATTAGCTCTTTGTGCTCAGACCTGCCAGCCATAAAGGCTGACAGTGCTTTTATTCTCATGTTTTCATTCCTGAATATAACTTTCTCAGTGCATGAGACATGGATATTCAGACAATACAGATCTTTATTCCTTACAGAAAAAGCAAATACGAGTGATTGATATCCTTATTTCTTTGGAAAAGAGTTTAAAATGGATTGGCAATGGCTGAAATTACTCTCCCTGCTGTCACGCTGCCAAAGCTGGACATCCTATTGAACTATTGGCGATCTACCAGGAACATAAAAATATTAATAAGACCATCCCCAAACTTTCTAATCTTCTCTAATTCACCTTTGGAATGAATTTACATTTGTTTTCAGAGAAATTGCCAAATCCTTCTCTGTTGCTGTTCTGGCAAATTAATGAAACATTTGTGGCCACCGCATTGTTATGGTCTAGCTTAAATCTAGTGCTGGGTTAAAAACGCTGCTTGAAAACTCCGAGTAAACAGACACGACTAAATCTCTATCACAGTTATTCTCCCCTGTCAAAAGCAGCAGTGGTACCAGTGACGACTAGCACATTTGATGCCCGGGCGATCTTTGCGATAACAGAAGTGACACATGATGTGATAAGCAACACAAATGTGTCTGACGACTATTCTGGGATGGAGCCTACTCAGCAATTTCAAAGCGCAACACAGGGAGACAATCAGGCACTCTCAGGCTGAGTTTTCTCTTTGCCTGTACCGGGTAATGATGGCAGTAAAATAACTTTTCAAATCACACAGAATATAGTTTGTGCAAGAAAATGAGAGAGGACAGACAAAAGCTATATTCCACAATATTATAGTTTACTGAACAGTTTTGGCAAAAGCGGAATTGTTTTACTTACCCTCTGCCACCTGGCTTCTCTTGGAAAATGGCAGAGAGCAAGTAGGAAATTGGGCAGAGATAAAAGATGCTACAGTGCTTTTCTGTCATTTCTCCGTGAATATGTATGATTGGAGGTCTTTCTTACCCTGGACGGGAGCCAAAGGCTCATAAACTACTCGATAACCCTGCAGGACTCCATTTGCTGCTGTCGGCTCGCCCCAAGACACATTGAGTGTAGTGCAAGTGATTTCGGAGAAAGCCAAGAAGCTGGGAGCACTGGGTGCTGAAAGGATTACAAACAGATTAAATTGGAGTAGGAGTAGTCAATTGGATATACATATATATTATAAAACATTGGATTATTTGCCCAGTCTAAATCTAAACGAAACAAGCTGAGAACGGGATTTGTCAATTGTATCCAAATGTCCTGTAATCAATCAGAAACCCAGCCTGTCCTAAGAAAAGCAGCCTCTGAGCTGCAAAGCTGAACCTCAAAAGCAAGCAAGGAGATAGGGATGCAGGAGGAAAAGACCCTCAGAAGGGCACTACGCTAGCATACAGCCCGAGTGCACACCTCCTCTTCACAGCCCCCAATGAGGGCATTGCCTCCCCCCTGTGCTGCAGTGCTCCCACCACGGTCATGTCCAGCACAGACACATCCCAGTCTGACTGGTGGCTTAAAAAAAAAAAAAAAAAAAAAAAAGAGTAATTATAAAAAACACAATCATTCTCTTGCAGGACTGTTTGGGGGATTTGCAAGCACTGGAGACAAGTTCCTTCAAATTTTCAGGAGTGATAGCAGAGGCCAGAAACCTTGTGAAGGGATCATTTCTCTTGCCAGTTCGTTCTCGTTTTTGCCCTATCGCTCTCTTTCCCACATGGTCCATTTATTTGGTCCCTTTTTTCCCTTCAGGACCATTACGATGTAATGACCCATCCAAAAGCTAAATCTAACCACCAGTGCCCTCCTGCATCCACCCATTTCCCTCAGCCATTGCCCAGTTACACGCTGATTATCACCAGGTCTGTGCTTTGAGACAAGACAACGATTCCGTACCAGCCTGGTGCGTCCTGCCCTGCGAGGGGCTGCTCCTGGGGCCGTCCCCGGCTGCATTGAAGGCGGAGATGCAGACCATGTACCGCGTGTGGCTGGTCAGGTTTTTGAGCCGGACGGTTGTCTCCGGGAGGAAAAGGACCTTCACTTTCTCTGTGTCATTTTGGATGTCGCTCTCCCAGTAATAAATCTGTTGAGACAGTGAGATGTTTTAGTGTATCCTACATCTAGAAAATACCTGGGCGTTGCAGCTATAAAAGATCAGGAAGATGGTGCAGTCTTGCTCTAGACTCCTCTGTTAAATGGGATACTAGCGCTTTCCACCACGTGCCCAATCTTTTCTCTTCCTTTGGCAAATTCCCCTGAGTCCAGCTGAGTAGTCTAGCTGAGTACATCACTCAAAAATAGAGCACAAGCTGAAGAATATGGCCTAACGACAGCAGATATGAGCTGCCAGACTTCAGTGATGAGAGGTCAGTTTTCAAATTCTCCCTGAAACGCTAGCTGCCTGTCAGCACTGGCATCCTGATACGACATTCCATAATTCACCTCCACATGCACACAAAGGTTTCACCGTTTGTGTTCACAGGACAGCCAAGCGAATGCCTTCCTGATGAGGGTAATAAAGACTTCCCCTAAAGTTCCTTGAGGTACTCTCCCCCATTCTTTCCTCACATAATTTTTACCCTGATGCCATAAAATTGGGCTTTGGAGAAGTCGTTTCCAAGAGGAAAAGTGGTGCCAGCCCTACTTATTGGACAGGCCTGGCAGCGAGAGTATTACAACAGGCCAAAGCAAGCCAGAAAGTTGAGAGAATGAGCCAAGGCAAGACTCCACCTTGTCTCTACGAGCCAAGCTGTTAGAGCCATCTATATATGTACAAAAGGAAAAGAACATGAATTGATATATAAGGATGCTTGCTACTGCCAAGAAGGGATGCCAGATTATTCACATTGGCTTGGCTTTGCTTATGGACCTAAATTCATGGAGAGGCAGAGCCAGACGCTGAACCCAAGCCAAGCTCCAGTGTTTGTAGACTTGCCCGTTTCCACTCTCTGAGGGTCCATTCTCATGCTGGAGAAGCTAAACATCATGCCTCTGCAACGTGCTCATCTCCTATGAACCAAATGCAATTAATGCTATGATTTAATTTTGTTATAGTTAAGGAAATGAAATAATTGTTCCGAAATCTGACCTGGCTCAGGCTTCTAGCTTGGAGAAAGTTCTGTTTTTCCTAATGGCTTGCAACATTTGATAGATAGAAAGCTCAGTTAATTTTCTAGAATACATGTCTTGCCCCTAGCCCTTGTGTGACTGTTGCTTTTTGGAGCAGATTTGTTGCCTGCATAAGGGGAGCTGCCTCCTTATCTGCATAGCCTGTTTCCCCACGCTCTCCTCCTCCACAAATAGCAACATACTTTTTTCCTTTTCTTCCCCCTCAGTCTCACTCTCTTTCTTTTGATTTTAGGACTTAGTGCCATTTCCGTACTGCCGTCTGAACGCTGTTTTAATTTGCCTTATGCAGTGAGGGCAACTGTAGTTTGTAGAGCTATTTCACAAGTAAAAGCAACGCCAAGCAAGATAAATGAAACCAGCAGAAACAGGAGGATTGCCTTGTAGCCTTGAATATTCCCATTTTGGCTGTCGGCAGGAGGGGGGTCCCAGGTGAGCTCCAGCTGGCTTGCAGAAAGGGAGTTTACTTGGATGTTCTGTGGGGCCAGCGCCGGTGCTAGAGAGAAAGGACAGAAGAATTAATAGTGACAAGCAGAACTAGTTCATATCCAGGTTGCAATTTTCCGTTTGCAGAAGGACCCAGGACAGACTCTGTTTACGCCACAAGTCAGCTCAGTCAGCCCTGGAGGTATCTGTATCGCAGGGAAGTCTCGGCACACGTGGACTGAGGAGCAGCCGAGCCTCCGGAGGTGGCTCTGTTCTGTGCCACACAGACTGGCTTAGATATTGAATCTGCTCCATCCTACCCGCAGCTTTGGAAGAGAAAGGAGAATTTTGTCTTCGTTCTACGGTAACGTTTGGGGCTTGCCTTCAGCGGTGACACCGCGCTCCTCACCGACCACTCTTGAAAGTAACTGGGAGCAAGGCACCCCCCTTGCCACCCTCAGCCCAGCTTCCCACTCAGCAGCAAGTCTTTATAGCAGCCTGCTCGCAAGGCTCCAAGAATTAAGGCCAAAATACTGTCTAAAGTTACCTCCAGAACCACGCAGACACTAATCAGTTCAACTAATATTTTATGTATGATAAAATGACTTTTAGTTTGCTACTTGTTCGCTCTGCTTTCATTATACCTTCGCATATACATGCTGGCCCTCTTTGGCTCCTGATGGCGTTTCTTGTTTGCATTGTGCTGTACTAGAAAACTAATCTTTGAGTGCACCTGGGTCACACTATCCTTCCCTTTGTCGGGATCCAACTTGGTGCAGGTGGATTTTCTTCCCCAGCGGCTAGCGAGGACGGTCTGTTTTCCCGACCTGCTGCCTCTGCCTCCGGCAGGTCTTAACAGACCGGCACATGTTCTGCTTACAGAAAAGGTGCCGAAGCGTGTCCTGCTCAAACTCCAGAAGTAGGAAGAGAAAGGCAGGGCAAAGGGTGTGCTTCTCCTTCCTCTGTGTTGACGGTGCCGTAGCCTTCACCCAGACCACCTGAGAAAGCTGTCTCTCTTCTCTCTGCCCCTTTACGGGCCATAAATAGAAGCCATAAAACATTCACTACTCGAGGTAGATAGCCCCAGTTATCTGTTCCTCCGGAGACTTCTTTCTTTAGAGAGAATGACCTTCATAAGTCACACTTTTCTACCAATACTCCCTCCCCCCCGAGTTATAAAATAAAATAGTAATTAACACCCACTCAGCCTGACACCAACTATTTATTTTGTTCTAACTGTGTGGTTTCCATATTATCACTGCCCACCCTGCCGTTAATGGAAATGTTAATAACCAGCGCCAGGTTGTTGTGACAGATGCTTGGGCTCATTATCAGAAATTCTTATTTACCGCTCCATTAAACGACAGAATCGCACAAAAAAACAATTCAATCAAAACTAACTGGAGGAATTTTAACAGCCACATTAATAATCCAAAACATAAATAAAGTTAATGTCTTTTGCATGTTTGCCATCGGCAACTCTATTGCAAAATTATTGCTGTACAATTAAAACATGAAAGGCAAAATTGAAAATAGCCTTTATCCCGGTGCTCAGTTAAAACTCTTTGTTTATTATATTTCTTGTTGCCTTTATGCTGGATGTAGCAAATGCACGAGGTGACAATGACCACTGGTAAAATACGGCTTGTTCACAGGGGTGCGCTCGTCTAATGGCCGCCCTGTCCTCTGCACTTTGCGGAGGAGCGAAGGGAGCAGCCAGCGCGCTGCGTTCAGTGCGATGTAGCGCTGTTCTGTTAAGGACCAAAAATCTCAGGATTTTGAGCCTTTCACAGCACACATCAGAGTGCGAGGCCAAACCGATCACAGAGTACAAACCTGAAAATACATCTCGGAGATCTGCAGATGATGACACGCTCAGGGAAACAGCAATATGTACAATCACAGAAGAAAATGGATCACTTTAGCAATGTATTTTCTCTCTAGGTAGTGACACCACTGTCTGTCCTGAGCTGACAGCTTCAAAGCGTTCGCAGTACCCCAGTCTGAAGCAGTGTCTACAATAGCATTTTTCTTTGGATCCCGTGTGCCAGCCTGCAACAATCGCCGCTTCCAAGATGCGACCATTAGAAGAACCGGTGCGCGCAGCCTGCTGCCAGAAAAACACCGCTTTTCCTCAAGCCCTTTTTGGAGCATGTCTAAGAAACATAATGGTTAAAAACTGCCAGTGATCATTCTGCACTGACACTCTCGCTGCTGGAGCTGTGCTTTTGCTGGCACGGCAGTGGAAAATTTGATGGGAGGGAAAAAAAAACCCACCCAAAAAAAGATGATGTGGAAAAAGACATTTCTCTTTGCCACCCCAGAGCCTCGACGAAATGCAAATTGTTTGGTTTTGTGCCCTGTAAGTCTGTCCCTCTGTTCAACTTCCAAAGGTTGATGTGCTCCTCCTCTTCTAAGCACAGATTTCTTGTTGACAGCAAGGGACAGCAGAAAAGCGCTGCAGATGCTTGATGTGGCTCTCTGCAGACAGCACGTTACATTAAGGGTGAAATGAAATACTTCAAAAAGAAGGAAACACATCCCTAAAGACTCTACCTGTTTGAAACCCCACTCCATTCACTGAATGTATGGACAGCCTGTGCCAATAAAAGCAAGTGCATTTTAAAGGTGAATTCAAAAGCCTTTTACCTTCTAGGAATGCAGTTCAAGATTACTGAGCTCTGAATTTTTTCATGGCTGTTGAAATCACGAATACATAAAAAGCAAGGTTAAAGCCGCACACCTCACGCTGCTTTAGGTGTCAGTGACATTATCAACTATCGCAAGAGTGACACGGACCCCTGAGGGTCCAAACTCTTGGCAGGTAGAAAGCATTTCACTTTCCCTGAAAACAACACGTATGCATTCATGAAGTCTCATTCTGTGCACGTATCCTGCCTTGGAATCTCATGCAGATATTTGTAAACATTTATTTTCTTATCTGATTTCAATTCACCTTTGAGGTCGTCTCCTTGAAACTCTCTCAGCTAAGAAGTAAGAAGAAAGGCTAAGCAGGTTGTCTAGTAATTAGTAAATAACAACAACAACTATGGACCAGGATGATGATGGCAGGATCGTGTAAAGACAACAAATCTATCTGGAAACGCAGCAAGAGAGTCAAAACGAGCCCGTGAATAAAGTTACACATATAAATCCACATTTAAACGTATCGCTATCCTCATTTGCTGGTCGTACCGCACAGCCTCTGCTCACACCGCAGTCAGTTTGAGCTTGCAAATGCTCATAACCTTTAAAGAGAAGGTGTCCCAAATCCCCAGTGGCCTCCAGCGCCGGAGCTCTGTGCGTTGCAGAAGGTTCACCTCAGTTTTTCTCACTGCTTGCTTGGGATATTTGCTCTCTGGGCTGTGTGGCTCCGCGAGCTTTTCATTAATAACGAAACCGCTATTCCTTTTCTTAGTGACAGTTGCCACGATGTTCTGTGGCACAGGTAGGCTACAAATCCTTGTGATTCATTGGGTAAATTTAATGGCTGTTTTTATGAAGCATTCCTTGCTGCTCTTACATCTGCTCCAATTTCTGGGTAGCAAAGGATTTCCCCTCTGCTGATTTTCTAATTGTTTCTATAATGCCAGTATTATGTCAGGAAATACGCAGACAAGTCTGGGACAAGATTCTCCGAAACTCATGCCATTTCAATAAATTTGCAGGTAAAAAATGAGGAGAAAAATGCAGTGAAAGAGACTGAAGATTTTCTGTGCATCAGCTTGATCCCACAGCTCCAAACATTCCCAAGCAAATTTCTGTTTTGTAAAGACCTCTGATCCTTTTCTATCTAGCAAGCATTTTCCCCCCAGTTCATCAAAGCATGCTTTTGTCAGCATGCCTGCTTTTATTCCCTAGTAATCAATATATTTGCATTTTGGTGTTAGCACCTAGAGGCCAGAATCTCATTGCACAATGTGTTGCATAAACACAGAAGAAAGAGACAGCTCCAGGCCTAAAACCCCTCTAATCTATATATCTACACATTATTATGATGGCGGGGTGGTCGCAGCATGTTCTGATGTCTCAGCTGTAATCTTACCTACCTAGTGAGTAACAACAAGAGAGAAGACACAGCAATATTCAACGCAGCATGTGCTGACAATTAAGAGCATGCACACGCAGCACCTCCGAAGTTTACACACCGGTTCCTGGCACACACAGTCACGGAAAACAGAGCTGGCGAGGATTTGGAGAGGGCTCAGACAAGCCATCCTCCTGCGCCACGCCGGGATCAGCTTGCCTGGTCAGATGTTTGTGTAATCTTGGCCACTGACCTCTTTTCAGATTTCGCCGCTCTCCCCACACAAACTCGGCCAGTGTGTCCCTATTTTAATAACTCTTAAAATAACTCAGGTTATTATCTTTTTTCAAATGTCTAGCCTAAACCACCCTTGCTGTATTGAAGTTCTGTCCCCGCAGTGGCGTGGAGAACAGATTGTTTCTTCTCCCGTTGCAGCCACTGCCCTCAAGTTATGGCGTAGATAAGCAACAGTTAAGTGGATTATAAAAGCCAAATGCAACAAAACAAACAGAAGGTCACAAGATCAAACAACGAGACTCATCTGCAGAATGGGCAAAGCGAAACACAAGAGGTTTTCTTGCAGTATGGGCTCAGAGAAGGAACTCAAGAATGGTGCCTCCCAAGAAAGAACAGAGATGTATCTGCAGATGTTTGCAGTCACTCCTTCCACGAAAGAAAAGCAGCATGAGAGGAAAACGTTCAGTATTTATTGGCCATTTTCTTACAGTATCTGCTAAAGAGAGGTGGGAGCGAGGAGCGCTTCCCCTGTGCAGCAGTACCTCTGTGCCATCAGGAATGCTGCGTGAGCGATGCTGATTAGTTCAATAACAATTAGTTAATTGTGCTTCAAAAACAGCTACTGCGAAGCTGCTTTCCGCTGTGACAAAGCGGCACAAGCTATATTTAGAACGTAAAAGATGCTTCCCACCAATTTCTGGCTGTTTTAAGCTAGGCTACATTTTGTGATGGAAGTACGCGCTTTTTCCAAGGACTGCACTTTCCGGGGTTACTCGGATGTATTTCAGTTGCAACGAGACAGGCAG